TAGGAAATCCGATCCAATATATAAACGTACAGACACACACACAATCTGCGTTTTATAATAAGTAAGATTTACCTTTTTTGAAATCTTTTTCTTTCGTTTCCTTCTTCTATTTCCTTATAAGAATATAAGGAAATAGAAGAAGATCATTCTTATATTTGCGTACATATATGTTTAGTTATATTTATGTGTCTGTATTAGGATGCGAATGTATTTGTCATGTCATAATCTGACTTCATTGTATCTAATGTTTGTATACTTCCTACATCAGCATCGAATTTACCGGATAAATTGACACTTAGCTAAGAATAGAAATAATATATATTTTTCTTTTTGCTCCATTCCATTTTTGAATAACTTTGTAATATTTTAAACCTAATGCTCAGTTAAATTTGAATTTGAAATTTGTAATTTTCAATCTTTAATTTTACTGTGAAATTAGAACTTATTTCATATTGATTTCTAGTTTAATCTAACATTAACTTTAATACACAAATGATTCGTATTTAGAATATACTGTCGTGTTTTTTGAATTTCCATATTCTGATTAGTCATCATAGGTTATGTAACAATGTTTCCCTTATTGAGGGGGGTTTAAATTTAAAAAAAAAAAAAACTTTATTTCACAATCAATACCATCACTTGATAAGACACCAGAAGTGTTGAAACAAAATGGCTATTTTTGTAGTGATGTTATAATATGCTTATGTTACAATTTTTGAAATAAATTTTTATATATATATATATATATATATATATATATATATATATAATGAGTAACTTTATTCTGAAGTAATATGTCAAATATACAAGAATCCCAGAAGTTTTGAGACATTTTTTTTTAAGAGGCAGTTATAATTTTGTAGATTATTGTAATTTTAATATGTCATTACTAATATACATCTAATAAGCTGACTTGCCAACATTTGTTATTCCCAATTTAAGAAAACTGCTATAACAGCTCTTTGAATACAACCTATTAAACACTGCTTCACACAGCAGACTAGTTTGCAGAATGCTATGGGGCATGAAGACATTTTGGAAGCTCGCTATACAATAAAGTTTTGTGTTGACAGAGACGGGCTTCAAAACTGTCCCTCACCCTCACTACACTCCAGACCTTCCTAACTCTGACTTTTGATTGTTTCCCAAGCTGCGGGAAAACCTAAAGGGCAATCATTTTGAATACATTGAGAAAAAAGTCCAGGATAACTTTACTGAGTATGACTTCTATGAGTCCTTCATGAAGTGACTGGAGTGCTACAAGTACTCTGAAGTCAGATGATCCTACTTCGAAGGAGATCAGAGTTGTGTACTTCAATGAAATCAATAGATGTCTCTCCTGGAAAAGTCTCAAAATTTTGAGAATGCACCTCATATATTTCATAAATATTTGCTTTTTCTACAATTTATGAAAAGAGTTTAAATTTATTGACTCTTGATTTTCTCATTACTGAGCAATTTGAAATGTGAAATTTGAAAGTGTTCTCAAAGGCAAATCCAAAGTAGATTACTTTCTTTGATGTGACGTCAAACATTCACCTACTTACTGTAATGTCAACAGCAATAAGAATATTTATAAAGCAGAAAGACAACTACTGCAATGGATGGCTACACATAGAATGTATGTGACAGTAATTTTTAAGTATTGTTGCTGCTTATTACAATTTGCCAAAATCAAAAAATATAAAATCTTCTTCGCCATTTGTTATTTGATGAACAGCAAAACTAATTACATAAACGTATGTATATTTCTGAAAACAGTTACTTCCAAAGAACTTTCCTCTTGTCTAAAAACTAATAATTTATCTACACTAGCATAATAATAAATAGTTGGATTAATATTTGGTTTTATTCATAGATTTCTATTTACTATAAAATAAGAGAAGAAAAATGTAAGCAAAATTAAAGCAATTTTAAGAAATCACAGCCATATTAAAAGAAAGAACAGAATATCTCCAGTTAACAAATATCCATTATACCACCTGCACATCCAAGTTTACAGCACCTGGTATTCCCAAACATTCACTCATCTAACTATTGACCAGGCTCAACATTGATCAACTTTGGTGATTTTATGGTAACCAGTATTTCAATGTGATGTGGCCATAAGCAATTCTATTAGTTTGGAATTAAAACTAAAATACTTCAAACATTTTTCATTTTTAAAATGCATTTTAAAGCTTAGGTATCACTTTTTTTCTTTTTTTTGTTAAGGTATCTACTTTTAAAAAATATATACATTTTCAAGACATCATTTTTTTTTTTTATAACAGTTTTTGCCAAGTTTCAACATTTAGTTTTGTATATTAGTAAACAAAGAAATGAACTACTTTGAAAATAAATCTTCCCAATTTAAATAACAGTTTTACTTCTTTATCATACACTAAGGCATCTTCTGTGAAAATAGATTTTCCAGAGATGAGAAATTTTCAACAAAATTCTACTTTTATAAATCTTTTAAATATTTCAATAATCAATACAATATTTCAAGTTCAAACATAACAGTTCTTTTTCCAACAAATATACACTTTCTTGCATGTGAAATAAATGTCTTTATGAAGTAAAGCTACAAATTAACAATTTCTAAATGTAACCTGTTTTTTATATATTATATATTCCTTAAATGAATCTGTCTGTATTTCTGAGTTGAGGTATTATGTACATTATTTGGACTATTGTCCTCATCTTGTCACCATATTCATTACAACGTTTTGGCCATTGTACACTCCGGCCTTCTTCAGGTGGTTGGAATGTCGAACAGAACCCTTTATTTTGCTCACTGGGGTAGACTGTTCCATGTTTAATGGATGTCAGTTATCTCCTGTTAATTTCCCTCTGAAAGTTCTCCACTGCCTTAACCGGGTATTGAACTCTGTCACTGGATCTAGCTAACGCCTTTATCCACTGCGCCATGGACATCTGTGTATGAATTTCTGGGTATTATAAACCTAATGTCTGCAACCTTTTTTACCAGTGTTCATATTACAACTTTTGTTGTTATCATTTATGTTTTTTACCAGAGCTCATATTGCAATTTTTGTTGTTATTATCACTTTTCTCTGGCACTCCTTATTCCCATATTGTGTTCATTTCTATGCTTGGTCGGCTCAGGAGATTTTTGTAGCCTAGCATATGTGCTGATTCCTTAAGTTCAATTCTTCATTTAACTCAACTAGCTTTTCGACCATTATCCCTAATGGCCTAGTTTAAATTTTAAACTTAAAGTACAATGGAATTTAAAAAAAAAAAAAAAAAAGAAAACCGACAAAAGTTAACTCAGATGTGATGGCTCCAATTTCACCTGATTTTACTTAAATTATATTTATATTGAAAATGAATAAATGCATTCAATTTTCTAAATTCTAAGTCGGAATTTATGCAGACCAGTTAAGAATTAAAAATTAAAATACTAATCAGTAATAATCCTCAATTAATCAAAATCTAAAACTAAAAATAAAAATGCAAACAGAATAGAAATTTATTGCTTAATTAAATGAAAATACATCATTCAAAGGCAAGGCTAACGTGGAAGAACTTTAGAAAGAACTTGGAAGAACCAAGAAAAAAATAATAAAAAAAGAAAGTGAACATCAAAAATAAAAATTAGAACCTGTTGATGTTTTATACTTGAAAGTCAAATAAACTTGGATTTTGTTTAATTTTTTTTTACTTTTTTATTTTTATTTTTTTATTTTTTTGTAAATAAATAAATATCATTTTCAGACCGAACATTGGCATCAAGTAAATTAAAAACGTCTTCAATCATGAAATCTTAATTGGTTCCCCCTCCCCGTCATTTCGCGGGGAGCGAAAAATCTGCATAGCAATTTTTTTACCATGATTACTAAATTTAATAGTAGATTAGGTAGATTTCTATTTTTCAAACTCTATAGATAGACTTTTTTATTTATTTTTTTTTTCTTAAATTAATGCCCAATTTAACAAGTGTTTCTGTTTCTTAAGATTGTTTTCGTAACTTGTAATGTGGCCTAGTTTTATAAACTAGTGTTTATTTTCATATGTAAATAATAATAGTTAAATTATATTCAGAATTGATTTACGAAAACGTCACATGTTTTAATAAAGTTGAATGTTTTTTAGTTTAATGAAAACAAATCGATAACTTGTTCGTTCAAGTTTTTCATTTAAATTTAACCTCTCTTTCTCTCTCGTCTCTATTTTGACAAACCTTCCCAACTTTTCTCGCGTTAAGTTTTAAGTACTACACTTAAAGTTTTATTCAAAAGTTAATTTCACCATCCATCCACAAAAAGAAATAAGAGAAAAGTAAAACACAGGAAAAATGTGAGGGTTAGAAATGCTCATAACACGAAAAATGATTTTTGTTTTTTTTTGGTATTTACTAGGATAACGACAAAACAACGATTCAAAAATTATTGTACGTTTATTTAATATTCTTTTTCTTTCTTGACAACGAAAATAAATATGTTTTTAAATAATTTCTTTTATTCCTTCCTGTTGTTTAGGAAGAAAAACAAAAAAATGTAAAATTGAAATATAACGTTACATTTTAGTAAAGTTAATGCGTTAGAGAGAAATCAATCAATTAGAAAAATCTAATTCGTATGTTTTTTTTAATTATACCAAGAAAAAATATTTTAAAATTGTAGAAAAAATAAAAAATAACAAAGTAATCTGACGGATTGACAGTTGACACCTAAATGTGGGTGGGTGTACGACAATCAGAAATAACTTTAATCAAGAATTTTTAAATTAATTAAAATCTTTAAAATCTTATTCTTTACACCTTTCGGGTAGTATACATATCAATACAATAAGTAAACAATTATCTGGTTTGGTAAATTAATCCAAAACAAAAATGCTGACTTGGACTACTACCAACCAACATGACAACAACCGACTAATACACTACCAACACAAACTAATTTGTCTAAATTGCCTAATCCACAATTTTGATAATCATCACAAATGTCCTTGGCCGATATATAGTGAGAAGCAGTAGGAACTGTAATACTTACCGACATTTTGAATAACTAACATGAAATGTTATATCCAATTTCAAAGCACATCGCTACAAAATAATGTCCGCGTCACACAATCTGACATGGGACATGCTTCCATAAAAAAAACTTTGTCAAAAATTAAATCTTCATGAGTATTTTTACTGTGTAGTCGTTTTAATCAAACATTCTATGACGAACAATTTATGACATGAAATAATTAATGACTTTAGAATGTTAAATTAATGAAAATGAAATTAATAAAACGTTAATATAATAGCTTTTTCTCTTTTACAGTGAGTTAACGCTGGGAATCAGAAAGATGATGGAACAGCCGAAGTAAATATCAAGGGGAATAACTTAAGTCCTTGATACTCTACGAAGAAACGTGGCATTTTTCATAATAAAATACTCTTTCTCGCCTGGAACTATTTTTTTTTTTACAAATAAATAAACAAAAAAAAATAATGCTGAAAAATTTACTAGTTCAGTAACGGAAAGTACAAAAAACATTCAGGATTGAAAAAAATTTAGTTTAGTTCAACATTCAAGGTGAAAGTTTGTACTATTGAATTTGAGGTGGTTAAGTACAACTTTCTATTGACACTGAGGAATGAAGTAAATTTTTTTTTTTATTCACCATAACAATCTTCTTAACCAAGCTGGTATCAAGCCAGAAATTTCAGACCTTGTATATTAATTCTTGATCACAGACCAATACATTAACAAGTTAAGATATGATTAAATTGTGATCAGGTATGTTATGAGGAGGCATGGTGAAGTAATGTAGTAGCAGCTCAGATTGAGGAATCAGAGAGCCAAGTTTGAATTCCAGTCAAATCCATTACTTTCACTTATGTGCTAATACCCTTAGAAAAGGTATGAATCTTCTTCTTCTCCCAGTCTACTGCAGAAACCCTTGTGCTAACTACCTCATCAAGGAGTCACTCCCGGTCTACTGCAGAAAGAAATGGCAATCTACTGCAGGAAAAATCTGCCTCATCAGTCATGTATTGAAAGATACATGATCGCCTAAGTGTGTATCACTCATGGCACATAACTGATTATGTTAATATATTGAATAATCCTAAAGTCAGAACTTCAAGCCTTGTTGTCAAGCTTGGTTGCCTCTGTCACCACTTCTCTGAATCTAGAGGTGTAAAGTGTTGGTTAAGGAATTTGGTGACATAATGATTGTTAGTTCAATCCCTGGGCTGAATAGTATGGATATTCTCAAAATCAGATAAAACAGGATAAGCAATAACTGAATAATTGACCAAGATAATGTAATCCTAGACATAGACCACAGGATGATAATAATCTATTGCCATAGATTGAATAAAGAGTTCAGTTTGAAATTCCCTGAACATTACTAGACTTAACAGACACCTGAAGAAGACACAATGGTGGAATGGAAATGGGAAATGAAAATGAGGAATATCTTTTCTCCTCCTATAGCAACTCCATTATCATGAATATATGTTTTTATTTCACTTTGTCTGTTTTTTTTCTTTTCCTATTTTTTTTTTTTTTTTTGTGGATGTGTCGAATATTTTGACACGGCTAAATCTTCACCCCTTCAACTTTCCATACATTGATCCTTCCATTTTGCTGCAGTGGAAGTGGTACTGATAGTCAAGACCAGAAAAGTAACAAGTGGAGACAGTTGGTCATGCATTGCCTGCTGTAATACAAGCCATATACTTTTTGTCAGTCTACTAACAAGCTAATTATGTATTCATTACTTAACATGGTTATGGTAAATACTAGCCTACAAGGAGATGGAAGAAAAAAAAGTAGTATGTTACAGCTGAATTTTACCAGGCTGTTTAGATCTTAAAGTAGAGTTCCAGGTTTTTTTCCTCCACATCCAGTTGCTAAAAAAGCAACTCTAAAATGATAACTTTCATACATATCAACCATTTTACTTTCATGAAAATATTCCTTAATCAGTATTTTTCTTTCACATCTTATCTGAACTTCAAGCTGATGCTTGAAGCATTGCAATCAGGTCACAGTGAGACACAAAGTACCTGTAAGGAACATCATGCATTTCAGGTCCCACTATGAGAGTAGTTAGTTTTCCAACATAATCTCAGAGCAAGTAAATTTGAAAGCAGTGACAGAAGATGTGTTTCATCATCTCTTCATCTCACTGCTCTTACTGCACTTGGTAGTTCTATTAGTCACATCTCGAAGCATACATTGTTAAATAGCAGAGCATTCTGGATGTGACTCCTTGATGAAGTAGTTAGCACAAGGGTTTCATACTCAGGCTGTCATTTTAATAATTATTATATAGGGGTAGGAACTTATGATATTATAGGGCAGAGTGGATTGCCTGATTTATGTATTTTAACATTCCCATTAGTGGGACATATATATATATATATATATATATATATATATAAGTATTTTTGATACACCCTATATATAGGGTGTATCAAAAATAAAAACAGGTTCCTCACATCAAAACAAGGACAAAAGTTCATATAAACATATGTCCACAAATCCTTTATTTTTGAGTTATTAAGTTTAAAGAAAGTTTATGGTAGATGGCATTGTCTTGCCATGTAGACTCAGTTACATTTGTAATTTGTGTACATTTGTGGCTATTCTGTCTTCAACATTTAACATATGTAGTTGTGAGTTAGCTGAGAAGTGTTCCATTTAACAATGGCATGATATTCATATCATGTATAGGCAGATATGATTTTTATATACACCTGCACAAATGGTAATTAATAAAGAACACATTCTATAGGCTGTCAGAAATAATCCATGTATCAGCACATGTCAAGTGGCCCTACCATGTCATACATCTCATAGTACTACATGGAGGGTACTTCAAGAGCAGCTCCTGTATTCGTATCATGTGAGAGTCTTTTGCCCTATGATCACTCACCATGGGAGAATTTTTGCCAATGATTATTGCACAAACTGTTGATTCTGATTGTTTGTCTCTTCAGTCTTGTTTATGGATGTTGCAACATTTGGAAGAGATGGAATAACAAATTTATACAACCAATATTTGTAGGCAGATCAGAATCACCATCATACAATACAGGCTAGACACCAGCATCAGTTTATAATTAATGTGTGGGCTGGAATTGCAGGTAACTTTCTGGTAGGTTCAACATATCTTATAGGAGCTGTCTACAGGAACTTTATATCAAACACACTTCCAGACCTACTAAAGGATGTACCCCTGCTAATACAAAGATGCATGCGGTTCATGCATGATGGGGATCCAACATATTTTAGTCACATTTTTCATAATGCACTAGTTGACATCTACCATGAAAGGTGGATGGGTAGGGGAGGACAAGTTCCATGGCCTGCACATTCCCCCTCATCTCAATCCTTTGGATTTTTATCTGTCGGACCACCTAAAACACTTGGTTTATACAACAAACATTAATAATGCACAGACACTTCATCAACATGTCATGGGGCCCTACAAAACTACTCAACAGTGGGAGTATTTGAAAGGGTCCACCAGTCAGTGATCTGATGGGTTATATATGTGTATGGAAGTAGCAGAGGACATTTTGAACATATGTTATGAGTTGCTGTGTTGAGGTACATCAATGACCCTTTGTACATATGTTTATATGGAAATTTTACCTTGTTTTGAAGTTCAGAACCTGCTCCTAAAGTTTGCAAAAGTATTTTTGATACACCCTATATATATATGCACCACTATACTTCAGTAGAGAGCCTTGAGGAATTGCTAATCTGAGTAACCTTGGACATGGCTACTTAGCATTCTTCAGAATACCTATGATGGACCTCCATAGTGCAATGGAGAGAGCCAGACCTGAGTCCACGGAAATTGGCTGCAGTGCACTGCCTCCACATAAGGTCTTCAGTCATCATACAACCAAAGAATGCTAATTTCAAAACTCATTTATGGCTTACTAAGTGTGATAAACACAACTCCTGTTGCACTGGCATTGAATACCAATATTTACCATTGACCATCCTCCCTCACAGAAAATTGAAAGGAGGAGTTATATAATGGTTTGCAGGATAGATATACATGATGCACATTTCTACTCTGCCTTTCAAGGAGATTTAAGGATACGTTTCTGCAGAGCCATTCTTCTACTGTTGCAACCACCTTCATTTGTATTTACTTCTACTCAATTTTTATTTAGCTGAAAGTTGGGCCATTAACCACACCTCTAAGAAATAGATGTGCCTGTTGGTTCAACTGAAAATCCCTGGTAAAGCCCTTCATCTCTAGGCTCCCAGACTTGTTTTTGTTTATCCTGGATCTCATCACTTGCTCATATTATCAAATTGCTGAGTGTACCTGACATATCTTGGAAGCTGTATATGCTGATTGTTATAATATCTGTGTATGCAGAAACTCTGGTTCTAACTCCTCATGGCAGTCCACAATTGCCCAAAATGGCAGGATGTCCTGGTCTCTGCTTTAGCATGCATAAAATATAGTTCAAGTATGAGGCTGTAAAGACAACAAAAGACAGTCCTGTCTAAAGGATTATGTGATGTCAAATGACTTATATCTCTTAAATATTCACCTGAACCACAATGCTAGAGGAATGGTACAACAGATAGTTCCAAGAATTCAAGCCTTCATCAAATAAAGAAAAGTGCTGGGTGGTGGTGTGAGGTGGTCACACATATACTCTCTCCTACAGTAGAACTACTGATCCATACATAAATAATATCATTTTTTTATAGGTACTATACTCGTACCAAAATATTTTGTCTGAAACTCTAGGTTAGGTAACTCTGAATTCTCAAATATTAAGTAAGAAACAAAATGTCCCAAATTATGCCCTCACACATCTGTTTTTACTTTTTTTTTTACTTATTTTTTTTTTTTTTTTTGATGTGAATCTAAATCTCATACAGTGTATCCTAAGAAAGTGAATCTGAAAAACAGCTTCACCTTATATCAGCAGCATAGCATGATTTGTCAACACCAGGAGAAAGGCAATTATTACACCACCTATCACATTAATATTCTCTTTTTTCACCAGGTTTTCCTT